GCTAATGCTACACCATCTGTGTAGACGCCTGAGTCTACAGCAAGGTTAGCAGCTCTGTGAGGCCCAGTCCACAAGTCTATGATGCTTTGAGCTAAATGCTACATAACAGTAACAATGCTAACATATATTTCATATTCGTATCATATTGACCACGTTCAGCATGTGACCTTAACATATTATGATAACTTAACCATGCTAATTTGCATATTACAACTAAAAACAAAATACACATGAGGCTGATGAGAATGTCACAGGTTTTGTACGTTTTTGATCATAAACCAAAGTATTGGCATTAAATAAAATGCATTTTCAAACCAAAACATTTTAAAATGAAAATAAAAATTAGACAATGCAAAGTAAAGGGAGTACAAATTTATAGTGTACTTGAAATTATGAAGGTTAAAGCTATTATCTTTCACCCAGAAAATTATAAATGCCACTGTTTGGAACAAATGATGACTGATGTGTGCCTGTTCTGCTCCTCTAAGCCCAGGTAATATGAGTAAAAGTAATTTTTACAGTCTACAAAATCTAACAAAAGATTCAGCCCCATATACAAACTTTTTGGATATAATAATTCTTTGAGTGCAAAATTCAGATTAATGATAAGTTAATGTCTCACAAATAGTTTACACATTGTCTTGGCCACAACAATTGTTTAGAAGTGAATAAAAATGGATACCCTGAACAGACTGCATCATTGCCGATGTTGCTGCAATCATCTCTTTCTTTCAAGCATGAAGACAAATCTAACATCAGAATTCAAAAGTTTGATTTATTTACTTATCTGGTTTGATTGCTGTTCTGTTTTAACCAAACTGTTTCTCTCTATAGCAATCCAATTCTGCATGTTGGATAAAATGCTAGCTGCATACAGAAATGTTCTTCCACAGACTTATTCATATGAAAACTACACTAAGAAGACTATGGTCTCTGTAAATTATTAGTGTTTATGAACCTGAATGAACATTTATTTGAATCCAATCAATTGTTGTATGAAAAGAAAAACACCTGTGCTAAAAGCTGCTTATATTTACACTGTAAATAAATTATTTGTTCATACATTTTTTGCTAATTTCTGGGATGTTGGTGGGTGCAAAGATTGAAGTCAGTTTTGTGGAACAGCATGCACCAAACCGCCATGCACCTATATTACTGTATGTACATGATAAAACTGGGACGTTCTTTTTGGAGTTTCAGGTAAAATAGATGAAATCCACATGCAACTCAGTGAAGCAGCAAAGTCAAATCAGTTACATGTTCAAGTCAGGTCAAGTCAAATTTGGAGCTTTTAAAACAACTGCTTTCTAAAAATAATATATACTCAAAATCAAAACTCAAGATGTTACTTGTAAACATCTTTTATTACTGAATATAAACAAAAATAGAGTCAAAGCATGTGTTGTTACCAAAGGATGCTGGGTACATGTGATATCACACAGACTGAAAAAACTGCTTCTCATGAATCCTGTGTTAATCGGTGCAGCTTTCAACACACAGTAAAGTGCCCATCCCCTCTTATGTAGAGATGTTTTTGATCATTTTCTACACAGTCAATATGAAACAGAGCAAATAAGATGTATCAAGTAGCTGAAAATAACACATTGTCTGTCAGTGTGAAGTCCAACAAAACAGATCCACAGTTTGTTGTCTATCAAAACATGACACATGCAAAGTGTGTTTAATACTCAGCACTGCCACAGATTCCATATAAGCCACTTGTGTGTGCACTGTATCAGAATACGAAAACCAGCAGCACAGCCTCAGGACCAGTGAAAGAGCTACAGCGTGTGCTACCTGAATTTCTAATTCAGAAGCAAGAACAGAAGAGGAGGTGGCTGAAGGAAGACACCATCCAGTGTGAGTACTGCAGCCTAAGGCAGATTTCTTCTTCTCTCTCTCTGTCAAGGAATTCCTGTGGTCCTACTCTAGTAGCTTTAACATGATGACTGCAACACTAGATGGATTCATCATGTATCACCAGGCCATGTTATGTATTTATTGCTACAGATGAATTTATGATTATGAAATATAAATATGCCAGGCTACTTTACTGACAAAGTAACCAAGTTTATGTTCTGTCTGACCTCCTGGTGTTTCTTGGCTCTGACAATTACACATTTCACTCTCTTGTCCTCTCTATCTATCCGTCCTCAAGTACAAAGCCGCTGAGCAAGGCCAGAGAGAGGCCAGCTATCCTACCACAGCTGTTTGTTGAAGACTATCTACTGTAGCACTCCTATGGTGACAAGGAATGAACAAGGATTAGGCTGAAACAGTGGGACAGCTAACTGTCATAAAACACTTCTGAGGACAACAAAAGGACAAGAAGTTAAGAAAACTAAGACATGACCTCAGTGAAATGAAAAGTAAGATAACTGGGGATGAAGGGAGTGAAGTGGGAGAAAATGTAATGATGTTGACATTTGGCACGTGTTTTACGCCATAGGGGGAATAGTCTCTATCAGAGTTGAAGTGAGGCTTTTACTCTGAAAGGAACCGTAGCGGAAGTGTTTCTGTCACTGAGGAAGTACACAGTTGGGATAGTCCTAGAGTAAACTCCTGTTCCTAGCCGCGAGTATCTTGGATAAATCAGAGGATGGAAAGCGTTTGCCTCGACAGTTTAATCGAGAAGCTCCACAATGTGAACGCGGTGAAATTCGGAGAGTACAAGCTGAAGACCGGCATGCTGACACCCATCTACATCGACCTGAGGGTCCTCGTGTCCTTCCCTGTGCTTATGAAGCAGGTAAACACGTGCTGCTGTCTTTCCCCGTCACAGTGTCGGACTTTAAAATAACTTTAACGTGGGATAGAGGAGACAATCGCAAAATATCATACAGCTGCGCAATTTGAATGCGGAAGTATTATATTCCACTATCAGTTCTGACGTATTGCACGTGGATGGTGCACACGTGGGTCGGCGTCTTGAGTCCCAACAGTCACACTAATGGATCATTTTGCACCAATATATAAATGAGATTTGGTAGTTGTTATGCATCTATCTGTATTCGATCTGTGTGTCTTCTTCAAGTTTCATTGACTTTCCAGCTGAATATCTGTTAAGTATGTGCATGGACAGGTCGTGAGACAAGGATTAAAAATCACAAAGGAGGAACCACATGACTGTAGACAGTTTTTGTCTTCTTGTGGTTATATCCCTTTGTAATTGTTTTGCATCTGTCTGTCACCATTTTGCACTTATTCTTACTTATTTTGTATCTTTAAATTGCTTTGCATGGCTTTGTAGTTGTTTTGTGTCTTTTTGTAGTCTGTAGCATATTTTTGCATCTGCAGAATGGATTCCTAGTACCAATTAACATCCATTTTAGAGAGTTTGAACATTACTGAGGACATAAAATGTGGTGGACCTTGGAAGAATGGTTGAAAATGACCCCTTTTTTCCAGCGCATGTCTACGTACATTGGATCTTCAAGTCTCCCATATTCTCCAACCTTGTTTTGTTGTGCAGTATCTATAACACCACCACTTTAAAAATGTGACCATGTTGCTCTTGTAAGGCCTCTTTTTTTTTTATCTATTTATTTATTTACAGGTGTCAAACCTGATCTACCAGCAAGTGCAGGAAGAAGGGTTACAGTTTGACCTGGTGTGTGGAGTCCCATACACAGCCCTGCCTTTGGCCACAGTTATTTGCATTACACATGAAATACCCATGCTCATCAGGCGGAAGGAAGCCAAAGGCTATGGTGGGTGGAGAGGCACATAATCAGACTCTATTTACAGTATCTAGTTTTAAAAGTACTGGCCTTGGATGAGAATGTCATTTGTTACAGCAGAAAGCAGTTAAGAATTTAATGTGGATAGTGATAGTTTCAGAAATCAAGCTCATTTAAAAAGCAACAAGACAATTTGTTCTTGAAATATGACAAGATTCACATGCAATATGATTATGATGTCTCAGTGCCTTTATAAAGCTGGTGCTCTGCGGTTTTCTGTGGGTTGATCACTTTTGGCACAGTGTTTTCTTAGGTTATGGCAACACCTACAGTGACACCCATCTCTGTATAGAAGGACTGATTTGCTGCTTTATGTAACTCTGCTAGGAACCAAGCGTCTGGTGGAGGGGTCTTTCCGTGAGGGAGATACATGTCTGATCATTGAGGACACTGTGACCAGCGGCAGCAGCATCCTGGAGACTGCCGAGGTGCTCTACAAGGAGGGTTTGAAGGTGCAGTATTAAACTAATTACAGTGACTATAATATTGTGACACTGATGCTTTTTGTTTGATGATCATCTGTAAAGCTTGTAGCAGCTGAAAATTTAGGAAGTAACAGTGTTACAGCAGCATACAAGAGACCTTTCAGTAGTATCCCCGGTTGGTGTGGGTTTCTTATGAAATCTTTGGTTGTTGATAAAGGTAACAGATGCCGTTGTAGTAATGGACAGAGAGCAAGGTGCCGTGGAGATGTTGGCCTCTCGGGGAATCAGGGTCCATCCCATCATCTCTATGTCCAAGCTGCTCAATGTGCTGCTGGCTACCAAACGCATCGACGCCCAAACCGCTCAGAGTGTCCGCAAGTTCATCACGGAAAATAGCACTTTCGGGTATGGTTGTATAGGTGTGTGTGTGTGTGTGTGTGTGTGTGTGTGTATACAGTCAGGTCCATAAATATTGGGACATCAACACAATTCTAACATTTTTGGCTCTATACACCACCACAATGGATTTGAAATGAAACGAACAAGATGTGCTTTAACTGCAGACTGTCAGCTTTAATTTGAGGGTATTTACATCCAAATCAGGTGAACGGTGTAGGAATTACAACAGTTAAGGGACCAAAAGTAATGGGACAGTTGGCTTCTCAGCTGTTCCATGGCCAGGTGTGTGTTATTCCCTCATGCCCATTACAATGAGCAGATAAAAGGTCCAGAGTTCATTTCAAGTGTGCTATTTGCATTTGGAATCTGTTGCTGTCAACTCTCAAGATGAGATCCAAAGAGCTGTCACTATCAGTGAAGCAAGCCAGCATGCACATTTTAACCCTGGCTGCAGATATTTTCAAGTTCTGTATCTGCAGGTAATCCAGTCTTACTTAAAACAGGTGGCATCTTGCTGACATACACTAATGCCCGCTTACTCATACAAGTAATTACATTTTCACTGAGACCTGGATTACACACACGCACGCACACATACAGGGACAGATTGTTGTTTTAAAGCTCCCTGGCTCTTTTCGTTTCTCACACACCCACTGACACAGCGCACCAAGAAAAGCATATTTATTTTGACTCTTTGCTGCTACACAGGAATGTGTCGGCACAGCAAATGGCAGGCTATAGAAAAGCATAACCCATTCAGATGATTTATGACTTGTGTGCAAAAGAGAACTGGCTTTCGTCGTTCTTTTTTCCAGCACACATCTCCTCATTTTCTTTTTTTTTCAGCCACGCCATCCACACATGCATAGTCATGGAACAATACCAGATTCTTGGGTTCACTAATGCTTTGTTGTACCAGACACTACCACTCTGTCCTTATTCATCATCAGGAGTCTTTGTACAGAAATCTGCTGTGTATTTTTATTGTCTTCTCTTCTTACTTTGGGAATGAAGGAAACAACAAAGGTTATTGTTCCTCTGTTTTCTTCTAGGAGCATCAGGCCAGCGAGTGAAGGTGGAGCCAGAGGTGTTGTCGTATCCCGGACAGACAGTCACCCTGCGCTGTGCCTTCCCTGATTCCACTGGGACTCAGCTCACAATGGTCAGATGCACGTCCTCACGATAAAGTTTTTTTTTTTTTCTTCTACTTTTCAGTTAGGACTTGATTACATCTTAATACCACCACGCTCGGCTCTAAATAGGTGTATGAAATTGTAATAAAAATGTCATTTTTCTGACTTGACACCATACAATTTGTTGAAATTGCTTGGGATAACAATTTGTTTTCACGGTTGAAGTGAACAGACACGGGCTGTTAAGTCATTCACTTTGTTTAATATTTGGCTAAACATGTGGCTCTCTTCCTCTTAAATAAAGTATTTGTCAACTGCGCATCGGCCTGATTCTGCTGGTGTGTGAAACAAGTGAAATAGGAGCAATTCATTGCAATCAAAATAAACATAAAATTATAAGCTCCATGTGCCTTGTTTATTTGGCACATTAAACCTTAATCTAACAAATCATAGCCCCCAGAAATCATCCTGAGGCTAGTAATAGGTTTTTATCACATTCAGGCTTAATGTTTTATTACTCCAAACAAACAATACTAAGCTTCATTTTTTTCTTTAGGGGATTGAATATGGTAATGGGAACACTTCTTAGTTGCATCTCAATGAAGTAGAAAGTGCACAACTCTGCTTGGTTCCGCTAAGAGCAGCTGAGAGGGAGAGAGAGTACTGCTCCTGAAAACCTTACATCCATATTCATACCTGCTCCAGTTATTTGATTGTGATGCTGTGTACGCTGCCCCGTGGAGTTTACAGCAAAATGCAGACATCTTAAAATACTTTCAAGTGTTTATCAATGCGGTGATAAATGAGGCCTGTGGTTTTTCTCAGTCACTGTTTGCATCCTAACCACCCCGCTTCCTGATTCACCACAGGTCACGTGGATTTATGAGCCGAAGGACGGAGAAAGGATCAACATTGCTGTGTTTCATCCCAACTTTGATCCCAACTACCCTGACTCACCCTTGAAAGGGCGGGTTAGCTTCTCACATAATCCCCCAGACATGATGAGCCCCTCCATCCAGATAACCAATGTTGAAATAACCGATGAGGGGAAGTACATCTGTGAATATGCTACGTACCCTGGGGGCAACGAGCAGGGCATCACCTACTTGGTCATGCTAGGTAGGTCTCTAGCATAATCTACACAGTGTTCTTATACAGATCAAGACAAATTGAAGGGGAAAAAACCTGACTCTGTGAGTTGAGAAACAGCAAAGCTGGTTTGACGTGTATGGGAGTTAACCATATCATACACGGTAAATATCGAGATAGATAGAGTCAGGTCCATAAATATTGGGACATCGACACAATTCTAACATTTTTGGCTCTATACACCACCACAATGGATTTGAAATGAAACGAACAAGATGTGCTTTAACTGCAGACTGTCAGCTTTAATTTGAGGGTATTTACATCCAAATCAGGTGAACGGTGTAGGAATTACAACAGTTTGCATATGTGCCTCCCACTTGTTAAGGGACCAAAAGTAATGGGACAATTGGCTTCTCAGCTGTTCCATGGCCAGGTGTGTGTTATTCCCTCATCCCAATTACAATGCGCAGATAAAAGGTCCAGAGTTCATTTCAAGTGTGCTATTTGCATTTGGAATCTGTTGCTGTCAACTCTCAAGATGAGATCCAAAGAGCTGTCACTATCAGTCATTACACCCATCATTAGGCTGAAAAAACAAAACAAACAGAGAGAGAGCAAAAACATTAGGCATGGCCAAAACAACTGTTTGGAACATTCTTAAAAAGAAGGAACGCACCGGTGAGCTCAAGATCGAACACCAAAAGACCCGGAAGACCACGGAAAACAACTGTGGTGGATGACCGAAGAATTCTTTCCCTGGTGAAGAAAACACCCTTCACAACAGTTGGCCAGATCAAGAACACTCTCCAGGAGGTAGGTGTATGTGTGTCAAAGTCAACAATCAAGAGAAGACTTCACCAGAGTGAATACAGAGGGTTCACCACAAGATGTAAACCATTGGTGAGCCCCAAAAACAGGAAGGCCAGATTAGAGTTTGCCAAACGACATCTAAAAAAGCCTTCACAGTTCTGGAACAACATCCTATGGACAGTTGAGACCAAGATCAACTTGTACCAAAGTGATGGGAAGAGAAGAGTATGGAGAAGGAAAGGAACTGCTCATGATCCTAAGCATACCACGTCATCAGTGAAGCATGGTGGTGGTAGTGTCATGGCGTGGGCATGTATGGCTGCCAATGGAACTGGTTCTCTTGTATTTATTGATGATGTGACTGCTGACAAAAGCAGCAGGATGAATTCTGAAGTCCATCCATCCATCCATCCATTTTCTTTTTCTTCACCAGGGAAAGAATTCTTTGGTCATCCACCACAGTTGTTTTCCATGGTCTTCCAGGTCTTTTGGTGTTGCTGAGCTCACCGGTGCGTTCCTTCTTTTTAAGAATGTTCCAAACAGTTGTTTTGGCCACACCTAATGTTTTTGCCATCTCTCTGATGGGTTTGATTTGTTTTTTCAGCCTATTGATGGCTTGCTTCACTGATAGTGACAGCTCTTTGGATCTCATCTTGAGAGTTGACAGCAACAGATTCCAAATGCAAATAGCACACTTGAAATGAACTCTGGACCTTTTATCTGCTCATTGTAATTGGGATGAGGGAATAACACACACACCTGGTCATGGAACAGCTGAGAAGCCAATTGTTCCATTACTTTTGGTCCCTTAACAAGTGGGAGGCACATATGCAAACTGTTGTAATTCCTACACCGTTCACCTGATTTGGATGTAAATACCCTCAAATTAAAGCTGACAGTCTGCAGTTAAAGCACATCTTGTTCGTTTCATTTCAGATCCATTGTGGTGGTGTATAGAGCCAAAAATGTTAGAATTGTGTCGATGTCCCAATATTTATGGACCTGACTGTATATAATTTTTTTTTTTCCCCTGTATTGAGTAAGATGGTGACTGGTGAATGTAGCTGTTGTGTTATTGTGTGTAATTTCCATGTACCAGTTCTGTTTTCTACTCGACCTTGCTTCTCCCAGCCCCAAGGAGGCGAATGGCAGTGGTGTTTCTGCCACCAAGAAGCCTTGTATTGAACAGAACCAGGAGCTGAGCTATGCAGACAGAGCCAAACTACCAAGTATGTAGTCTTGTAAGTCAAATGCCCTACCAGTATGGCAAATGAAATATGAATGACCATAGTCTCTGCAAGGTTACATCCAACTTGAAATTTTGATGCTAGTAGCATTTTGAAACTAGGGATTGATTGCATTGTCACTGAAGCATCTGACAAATACTTTGCACGACTGTGGTGACGTCTTTACAGCAGTTTATTCTTCATTTCTAAAGTGGCAGTCATTGTTTTTAAGAGGTTGAAATGAATCTCTTCCTTTGCTTCCTCCTTTGTTGTCTGCAGATGTTCACCCTCTGGCATCCAAGCTGCTGAAGATCATGGAGGAGAAGCAGTCGAACCTCTGTGTGTCCGCCGACGTGACCGGCAGCGAGGAGCTGCTGCAGCTGGCGGACTCCCTAGGTCCAAAGATCTGCTTGCTGAAGACCCATGTAGACATCCTCAAGGTGAAAGTAGAAGCAGTCCTTTTGTTACAAGAAGATTGCCAGACAAACAAACTGATGTAATTGTTGGGAATGTTAACAGGACTACACAGCGGGCTTCAGCCAGAAGCTGCAGACTTTGGCCGAGACACACAACTTCCTCATCTTTGAAGATCGCAAGTTTGCTGACATTGGGAACACAGTCAAGCATCAGTATGAAGGTGAGGAGATCAAACACCTTGGCTTCTTTAAAAATAAACATTTATTCCAAATGTGACTTTAAAAAAAACCTGCCTTCTTAACATTTTAAGTAGCCTAACACTGCTCATGTGTCTGTCCTCCAGGTGGTTTGTACCAGATTTCGTCTTGGTCTCACATAGTCAATGCTCATGCTGTGCCGGGGCCCGGGCTGCTGAAGGGTCTGAGTGCTGTAGGAAAGCCTCTGGGCCGAGGCTGTTTGCTCATAGCACAGATGAGCTCCGAGGGGTCACTTGCCACTGGTGAATACACAAAGGCTGTGGTAAGTGTGTCTCTCTTCAGACCTCCTTCCAAGTTTGCTGAAATTCACTGTTGATCATTTGCTGCTATTTCAACCGCTGTGTCTTTACAGGTGAAAATGGCAGAGGAGCAGTCGGACTTTGTGATGGGATTTATCTGTGGCTCTAAGATCAGCATGAGGCCAGAGTTCATCCACATGACCCCAGGGGTGCAGATGCAGGTTGGAGGTAAGCTGACTTCCACTTGTCATTGTTTTTGTGTTTCATTTCATTCATCCCAGTAGCTTAGATTTTAATTAATTTAAAGGAAGCAATGAAATTGTCTATTTTCGCTGGAACATTCCACCATATATACACACTCCAACTTTTCAATGATTCATCTGTGGTGTTCAGGAGTTTCACATACTACATGTGTAGGATAAGACATATAACGTTTTGTTTTGTTTATAAATATTTTTCCACAGTTAATTTGAGATGAAATTTCTACTGATGAAACAGCCATGCTTCTGTTCCGGTCAATCTGTGTACAACAGTGAACTCCGGTCATGTAACCTGAAGCATATTTTTACATTTATTCTGTTTTCCTGCATTTTAAAAGCATAACTGCAGTTATAAGGACGCACATGTGCAGGCGCCACAACAAACATTCCCGCCAATGGTGGAACATGATTCCAGAGATCTACAGGTGGTGGTAACATGCTTATAAATCCTGCAATGATTCAGAAAAAGCAGAACAGAAGAAAACTGTGAGCTTATAAAGATGAATGCAAACCCTGCTGGTCTTTGTTTCTTTGTTGTGAGTTGTCTTTACCACAGGGTGGTGCTGTGGTATAAGAAACTAATGCTGGCCCTGCTAGGCATTGGCAGTAATAGTCAACCTCCCCCTCTCTCCACCCCTCCTCACCCATGTCTCTCTCTTTGTGTCTCTCCCTTTACAGGTGATGTGTTGGGCCAGCAGTACACCACACCAGAGGAAATTATCTGCAGCAAAGGCTCTGATGTCATCATTGTGGGACGGGGTGTGTTGGAGGCCCCTGATAGGCTGAAAGCTGCTGAGTCCTACAGAAAATCAGGCTGGGATGCTTATAAAAAGAGAATGGGCCAGAGTGACCAATAGGATCTGTATCACTGTGTCTAATTTCAAAAGTAATCTACAGCTCTAATAAGGACACGTCCACGTGGTCAGGAAGTATTGCTATGTTATCTAGAAATAGGTGAACCTCCACTGGCTTACATTGTTAAAGCAGGAGCACAAGGTGAGATTCCACCAACGAAGACTGCTGCTGCCCACCATTCCTGGGGATGCTTTTGTTTACCTTCTGTAGTATGGGACCAATATTTGTAGTATTAAAAAGTGTGCCTGGCTAATCCTTTTATGTACTGAATAATATTGAGTTTACAATTTAGGGCATTTTTCAGCACACAAACATCTTAAGCTGCCCATTTTCTACCTACATCACTGTTCACACAGTCACACGTACGCTGCTGACTGGAGCCGGATTAGTCATCAGGGCTGTCTTAATGCCAGTGCCTGCCATCCACACTGCAAATAAAAAATAATGGGCCAACAGTCATGCTCCTAAATACATACAGTATATATTCAGTTATAATGTAACATGGGATCACAAAAGTGCTTTGTTGATTTATTATCTGTCCAAAAAGATGATCGAGTTTTGTTTATACAAGAGAGACTTGCCTTGACTTTGACACCTCCCTTTACAAGAAGACAGACGGTTCCTACCGGGCTGACAGGCACCAAAACAACTTCACGATATTCTGGGTGGTATTCTCCTATTTGATTTACTGGATAAATGTAATGTATTTTATTTTTATGACAAAGTGGAAATGTATTTTCTGAAAGAAAGAAAAGATTTCAGTCTTATATGTTGAAAAGTGTGTTGTGTTTAATGCTTAAATAATGTTCACATTCTGTGAACTGTATGTAGGCAATAAACTTCCCGTGGTACGGTGAAACCTGTTTGAAACACCATGATTTTATTGGGCAGGTTTCACTTCATCTTTTTTACACCAAGTGTAAGGGGAAGTTTGATGACTTATCTAAGGCTATAAAAGACTATTGTGTCAGGACTGTGCCTACTGAGCTGTGCATTATGGAAATCTTAAATTTCACTTGATCTGAAAGGGACTCGGTTGCAGCAGGATTCCAGTTTAATGTATTCACTTCTAAAATATCAAAGAAATACAAAAATACTTCACATGTGAATCTAGAGGTTCTCACAACCTGATGTTTTTCTCAAGAGCTGTTAAGTACAGCTGGGTAAGAAGGTTGAGTTGGTTAGAATATTCACAAGTACATTTAGCTGGTTTCTTAAATATGAAATATGGCAAATGTAGGCCTATACAGGTTTGTAGCCTTTATGTGAATTGTATTGGTGTTCTGTAGAATAAACATTAGATAAAACTAGCCTACATCAAACTACTTTTCAGCTATTTTAAATTATTGTTTTTAAAATCAAATTAAATGTGCAAATTATAATTATTCTAATATTAAATATCTTATGTGGGCTTGCCAAACTGTTTTTTTCTTCCTCTTCTGATATCTTTCCATATTCGATCTCACAATATATATATATATTTTTTTTTAAACATTTTGTGCTTTGGGTTGTGTTTCCATAAAGTTGGAGGAATTGTTAGACAAAAATGATCAAAATTAAAGCAGCAGGGTTCAAGATATACAGCGTGGACTCTTCCTCATTGTCAGGCTTCAAAAACACTGGATCCCAATTCCCAAAATGCATTTCAGTGCTAAATCTTTTTACTAGACCACACCTCTTCTCATCTTTCTCATTTTTAATGCAGGTTTTCCGTTAGTCACATTTAAAATGACCCTGATGGCAGTTATTTTCCCAGATTGACAAAACTCCACCTGAGCCTTAAAAAGCATTGCACAACTGTTTTCACAAGCTGGGCAGCACAAACTGGAAGTATTTCTTCAATAGAAAGACATAAGATACGTCTGCAGACATCAGTAAGATGCCTATATGGCCTCTGATATTGTGGATGGTGTAGAACCACCTCTGTTGTAAGATCATTAAAGCTCCTTTTCCAATCATATACTGTAAAAACATGCACCAGTTTTCTGTAAATTGGTGCATACATGATGTAGGTAACACGGAACCTCTTCCATGTGAGGCTATTCAGACGATTTATTTTAATAAACAAAAATAAATAAGAGCAAACAAAGTCTAAAGTCATTCATAATGCATAATTGTCTTATTAGACTTCCTGTTTGGGGAAGTGTGTATATATACAATCCCAAGTCAGAAAAAGTTGGGGTGGTATGCAAAATCAAATTTAAAAACAGTCATTTGTAAATCATCTGTGTCCTGTATTACATTGAAAACAATACAGCAGCACACAGTTTGACGTGATACCTCATCAATTTTATTCTTTGTTCAAAATTCATCAAAATTTGGGTTTGAAAAAGCGCCACACATTCTCTGTTGGGGACAGGTCCGGACTGTAGGCAGGCCAGTCCAGCACTCGCCCCCTTTTACTCCACATCCAGGCCTTGGTAATGTGCAGGATGAGGTTTTGCATTGCTTTGTTGAAATATGCATGGGCGTCCCTGGAAAAGTTGTCATCTTGAAGGCAGCATATGTTGATCCAAAACCTCTCTGTATTTTTCAGCATTAATGGAGCCATCATAGAAGTGTAAACTACCTTTGCCAAGGGCACTGACACAACCTCAGACCACGACAGACCCTGCCTTTGGACTTGTTGCTGGTAACAGCCTGGTTGGTCCTTTCACACGGCGTCCATTCCTTCCAAAAAAGAGCTGAAGTACTGATTCATCTGACCACAGTACACGTTTCCACTGTGTGACAGTCCATCCCAAAAGTCTCCGAGCCCAGAGGGGTCGACTACGCTTCTGGACACTGTTGACTTCCTTTTGGCACAGTACGTTTTAAGCAGCGTCTATGCATGTAACTACCTATTGTAGTGCCTGACACATAGGTGTGTCAAAGTCATCCTGAGCCCATGTGGTTATATCGGTCATAGAAGAGTGATGATTCCGGATGCAGTGCTGTCGAAGGGAGAGCTCGGTCATATAGGCTTGTGATCTTTACAATAGAATCATCATTTCATTGTTTTACCTCGTTAGTGGCCCTGAAAAGCAACATCCCAACGTTTTTTGGAAATTTGTTACAGCATCAGAATTTAATGCTTATTTTGGACAAAGAATAAAATTGACGAGGTGTCACATCAAATAATGTGCTGCTGTATAGTTTTCAATGTAATACAGGATACAGGTGGTTTACACGTCACTATTTTCAGTTTCCATTTGGATTTTACATACTGTCCCAACATTTGCTGATTTGGAGTTGTAATAGATCAGTGGTTCTTATTTTAATTTAGTTTATTATTTTTTAATGTCTCTAGGTTTCCATTTAGTAACGTCTAATTTGAGCACGCTACTTTTTCCCCTGAAGTTTCTGGCTAAGGTGAGCCACGCAGCAACAGAAAGTCATTTGCAAGGCATATGTTATGGAAATTACATCCGAACAGTCACTCTCGCTAGGACACAGTGAGGAAGATGGCAGGTAGCTACGTTACAATGAGCCCTTTTGCACATCAGCGCAGGCACAAAGGTCAGACACGTTGCCTGGCACAAAAGCGGAGGAGGGAGGGCTGGGAAGAATAATTCATTTTGCACTCTGTGTGTGTGTGTGTGTGTGTGTGTGTGTGTGTGGCCGTCCTCAACACACCAACGCACCCTTCCCCCTTAATGTCAATATTGGATCAGAGCAACGCACCGTGCGACAGGTGTTTGTGTGCGCCCGGAGGATCCTCTCTCTCATTTTCATCCGGGGGTGGGGGGGTGGGGGGGTTGACAGCGAGAGGGAGAGCGTATAAAAGGTTTATACCTGTCACACACACCGCACATTCAGTGCGCGTAAAAGGTGAGCCAAACCTGACCATAGTGGCGGATGTTGACCTGTATTTCTGTGCTTCATCTAAGGTAGGCTAACGGCGTTTCACTCATTTTAATTTCCTTGAGTTGATCAATTCTCACAAGAGTTAATCTTTTGCCCAGTGTCCTAACCTTTCCAAATCTCTCTCCAAAGGTTACGGAGAAGCCAGCTGTTACGCGCTCAGCACATCTCTCTGGATCGCCACACTGTGCTCGTTTTTGTGACTTTTCATATCCGTATTTGCTTCACGTTGAGCCTCACGTACAATACCTGAAGATGAAGTTTTGTTCGTTCGGCTCGCGTTATGCAGGTACGGGTGGGCAACTGGAAAAGGCACAGTTTGTTTTTGGTTATGGAGGAACATGACTGTTGTTAGCACTGTCAAGTTCATACTTATGATTATTTTAAGGGGTTTATTTTCCCTAGTTCTCAATATGTTTTAGTCAAGTGTGAGAGGTAGGCAAGGCCAGGTGAGTGACCCAAATTCTTGTAATGAAAAGCAAAGGTTAACAAAAGTTAGAGTAAGGACCCCTACTCCATCTGAGACGACTTAATAGCAGCAGCATAGTTTCAGTAACTGAAGCATAAGGTGTATTGAATATTTCAATGAATAGGTCGCCTTATTTGCATACAGCTGCCATCAGTCATTGCTGTAAAGTAAGCAGTGGCAGCCTTGGACCAACATGTTGCCTGACAGGTGGACTCACTAGTTTAGCTGAAAGTGAACTGAAAAAAAAAAAATTAAAACCTCATGGAAAAGTAATAACTCATTAAGGTAGACAAGCAAGTTCTCATAACACACACCTTTGTTGAGCAAAGAAAGCATAGGGTCACAGCAGGTGAATTCAGTTGACTGAATCAGTGATGCTATCAAGGCAGCATCTTAAATCCAGCATGCATTTTCTTGATTTTACTGAAAAATGTAAAAGATGTTAAAGGCTATACCAATTTTACATCAGTCCATGTGTTCAAGCAAAACCTGCTGTATATGAACATACACACCCACCTGCCAATGAGACAGCAACTCGCTATCACTACTGCTAAGTCTGTAAAGTGAGCAAGTGATGGTCTAGCACTTAGTTTTTCCTCAGTGGTTGTACTTTGTCTTTATGTGAATTGTCCCCTGATGACTGGGAAGGCTGACATTTACAATGGAAGGATAATCTATGTATCTCCCAGTGGAGCTTTTTTGATAATCATTTTCCCATTGGCACATTCATGATGACAGCATGTATTTTCCACTGGGGCCTATTCATTACTGTCCACCTCCTACGTCATAGGCTGGGGCTGCAGGTGAGCACCAGGGAACAGAGAGATGGGCTTAATGGGAGGTTATGTTAATCATTAACTAAACATTAACCACACACACACACACACACACACACACACAGCAGACATCTGCTATGAGCCATCTGTCATTTAGATGTAGAATTCAGCCATCACGCTTTTATCTTTTTGGTTTTTTAAATTTATTTATTTATTTAGCTCCTTATCTTAATGATTTATGCCTTTTAGTGTGTAATTTAAATGTTTGTATTGCCTCACAATAAACTGATTATCTTGGTGCAAGCATATTCTACCTTAATAAAAACTAACCTTTTAGAATTTCTCCAGAACTGCAGTTTGAAGATGCGCCTTTCCATCTGGTTGAAACATGACAATGACATCCATAGTAACAATGTGACAAAACACAGTCAGTAATTCATATTGTTTATCTGATTCAATTTATCAAAACCCATCTTTTAAAGTCCTTAAAATAAACATGTTGCTTTATATTTTCTCTGCATACATTCAAACCAACAGTGACATACGAGTAAAACAGAACTATGCAGAATTTTCAGTGCTTGAAAATGAATCATTTTTACCAACGCTTAGGGGTTTTAAGCTTTTCTGTGTCATTTGGCTCTGATTACAGTGAACATGTCAGTCGTAGCATGTTCACCTTCTCTGGTGAGAATGCTCAAGCTGAAATTTGATATGTACATCTTTTTTTATTTTTGGTTCTTTGTGCACATTATTCACTTCACATTGTTTTTGTCTCCCTGATTTATTATCTCCGAAACATCTCATGTACCTTACATGCCACCTTACAAGAGATGTTGTGACAAAGCAAGTCCATCATGTCATTCTTTACCTGAGAGCCTTGTGCCT